ATGGGAGATTTACCAGCAGAATGTCTAATAAATGAAATATTGTTAGAGGTTCAAGTTCAAAGCCCACATGGTGAGAAGACAGCATGGACTACTCAGATTGTTGTGAGGATACTCAGGATTTAAGTGATTCTCAAATTTCAAATTTACTTTCCTCCCCTGTGGACCCAAACCTATTGATTCTCCTTCACACCATTTGAAGAAGCAGGAATTACCCCCACACACCATTTTTTTTACCTGGCATTTATTTGGACAGAAAGTCTCGTATTCTTTTCTTCCTCACAAGCAAAAGCTCAGTGTTCTAAAATCTTATTGCTTAGATATCTAGATTACTCCTCTCTAATGCTATTAAAAGTCTGAACAGCTATCTGGCTGCATACTTTTCGTTACAAATCAGAATGTCTTTTGCAATGCAAGCTGCTTCTCTGAGTTTGCCTACTGCCATTCAATGACATATTGGACTCATTTGCCCAATGAGTCACTGGGGTGGTCAAGACTATTCTGCTGTTGTGACTAATCTTTCAGTCTGGCTGTGAACATACCTTGACTTTTTCTTAAGATTATCTAACCTAGTATTCAGACTTGTGATTTCGCCTCAGTTATATGGCATCTTTTTCTAGTCCTGTCCAAGGACAGATTCAGGGTGGTACAGCAGCGTGATCATCCAGTTGACCTGGGCACAGGAGAAGCCCCAGATCCACTTCTGCATTATTCCAGCTGTGGATGCGCTGGCTGCTGGGTTCAGACGGGGAGCATAGCAAAAGCAGGTGGGCTTTCTTTTCTTGCCTCTGCCCTGTGCCACCTCCCCATTGTGTTCCTCACTGACCAGGAGCAGGCACTGGAAGGAGGGACCCACCAGCTGCTCCCACTGTCTGCAGATAATGTAGGCATGGTAGTGGGAGCTCCAGAAACCACTCCTGCCTTTCTCCAGGTGGGGGCTGGAGGGAGACGTTATGCAGGTAGCCAGGCTTGACTGGTGGTAGTGGTGGCAGTGTGCAGGTTCCTCCTTCCAGCACCTGCTTCTGGCCAGTGGGGGACACCTGTTGGGAAGGGGTAGGCAGGGAACAGATATTAACAAGAAAAACTTGCATGTCCCTGCTGCTGTCAACAGCTGAGCTGAGCACACCCTGCAGCTACTCCTCACAACCTATATCTAGAGTGGGACTGGAGCAGCTCTGGGGCTCTCCCAGCACTTGGGTCAGCTGGGGACATAGGTGATGGCAGGAGAGTCCTCCCACACATTCCTGCACCTGCTTCCCACTCTCTGGTGTGCTCTGATGGCCCAAGGACTCCATCAGCACCTCATTCACATTCCCCAATGATCTGAGGATTGGTGTACTGCATCCCCTTTAGCATCATGAATTCACCCATGGCTCTGTCATTGTGACATCTTATGGGTTCAGAATCAACTAGGAAGTTTGAAGGCAAATTTCCCTTCTGCACTTCTGTTCTCATATGATATTCTTTTTGCTCCAGTAAGAAGTGTGATGGCATCAGGAAGTCACAGATGTGATTTCCTTCTTGTTTTCTAGCTAACTAGTAGGCTCTGGCCTCCTTTTCCTCACCCTTATAACAATCAGTACTTGTGGAAATACAACTCATCCTTTTCATGCTATGACCATATGCAAAGAGTGAAATCTCTGCATACACAGCATATTTCCTCATGGTCAATCTGCAGAACAGACAATAAATTTGTATTCCTCCTAGGAAAAAATTCAAAAGAATGCCCATTCTAGTTCCATGACAACTTTTGAGTTTGGGTCTTTTGTCCCAATTTGGGGACAAAGCCTCTCTTTGGTGTGCCTCCTCATCTTCCTGTACACACTTGAAATACTTTGCAGAACCAGAAAGTAATTTCCAGGGCAGCCCTATTAGGAAGCAGCAACAGCTGATTCCTTAAAAACTACTGTGGCAGATTAGCAACAGCAATCCTCTCTTATATTTATTTATTTTTCAAAGCTAAATATAAGGGTGAAGAAGATAATTCTGTACAGCATATAGTCAAGTTACCCAGTGCGCTTATTAAGACACAAGTGTTTATAAAATAAAACTGAACACCGATTGTTACTTTTATGAAACTGCATAGATATGAAATATGGAAGATGAATGCTATACCTGAGCATCTGATTCTTCTGTCATTTATACTGGTATTTCACTCAACTCAGTGGAGCTCTATAGGTGTAAAACTAACAAACAGCCAGGCACATTATGTATACAGCTTCTCTCTGGACTGGCTTATTTTGGCTAAGTACAGATATTAAAAAAGCCTAAGGTGGAATCGATCAAACTTACGTGGGTTTCTGTAAAGTGAAATAGGTTAATTCAGGAGCAAACAGAACAAATATTTGTCCTTTTGTGGGGGTGGTGGTGAAGGCAGGCTGCCTGCACTGGGCAAGGCCCATCCATGGACTCCCAAAGCCCTGTGAGTGGGTGCAGCCACAAGGAGCCTGACCAGGCTCCAGGGTATGGCTGAGCACCACTCTCCACATTGTTGTGCATTTGTCAGCCACTGTGCTGACTCTGCTCTGTGAGAGCTCAAACACAGGGCTCTCTGGGTCCTTGGTCAGGGCAGCCAAGCAAAGGGCAAGTGGTAGCATGCCTCCCTGTGAGCTAGTAGGGGGCCGCAAAGGCACCTGGGATGCCGGTGAACAGCGACCTAACATGAATCGATAGGGGAGCTGGTACAGAAGTTTGACTCCCTGTTTAACCTAAATCAGTTAAGTTTGAGTGCACAGTGATCCAGACCTATCTTAGACTGGGTTCTGCCGTTTTTAAACCAGTTATTGTGCACTGAATGTCTGCCCTGTTAGTTTTACACAGGTTTCCAAGCACTTTCTAAGTACCAAGTAAAAGTGTAATGCCTGTACCTGGCCTTTATGTAGTTAGACAGACTGTGAGTGTGTGTAGACGAAATGGGGACCCTAAATTGAAGCGGTGGGTTTTAAAAAACAACACTTCAATTCAGGGCTGATTAAACCCCCGTGTCATGTACAACCCCTGCTGACTTACCTGCCTCTTTGGTAGAGAGGGAAGGGCGAGCTGCTGGCGGGCAGAGCAGTCTCTGGCCAGTGGAGGTGGAGGCTGGTGCTTCCCTCTGTGGCAGTGGCGGCCCACCCCCCAGGTGGCACCCACCCTCAGGCATGTGGCTCAGCCCAGGGGGCACTGCAGCTGCAGAGGAAAGCACCGGGACCCTGCACAGCTCAGGCAGGCAGGTGGGCTCAAGGGGGGAAAAAAAGATCAAGCTCACCACTTTTCTTGGGCAGAGCCTGCTTTCCCAGGCTGCTGCCAGGCTGCCTGCAGGGCTTCCTGCAGAGCTGTGGAGCTGTATGGAGCTCGGTGCTTCGTTCCATGGCTGTAGGGGCAGCATTAGGGTGCATTACACTGCCAAATTTCCTACAGAGGCTGGAATTAATGTGCAATACACCACTGAGGCGTACAAACACAGACTAAAAGCGGTACAAAAGCATTTAGTCTGCTTTAAAGTGTTGTGCACACACTTAGTCATTTAGTCTACACACGGCCTATGATTCCATTTTTAAGACTGTGGTTCTTTTGTGTTAGGGATCAACCCTTATCTACTATACATTCAAATTAGGCCTTCTCTCTCCTTGCTATCTACGAGATCCATCTTGCTGATCTTACCACACAAATTAATGGAAGCAAAAATGTGCAGTGAACTCAGTGAAAATCATATTCCACCTGTTCCATACATATGTGGGACAACTGAAAGGGTTATTTAGGAGTTGGAGGATTTCCCATATTTGGGATGTTGACAACACATACCTATGTCTCAATCTTGTCTGACTGACAGGATGCAATTCAGCATCTTAGCTAGGATGAAGTCAGGACATGAATGAGCACAAACTAACTGAAGGCCAAATCAAATGAGACTGAGATGAGACTGGCATCCCTAGTGAATGCTGAATATGATAGGGCTGAGACCTTCAAAGTAGGACTTCCTTGGCCTCTAAATTCTGGAAGCTGTAAGGGAAGAGGGGCAAAGATGGATACACCTTGCATAATTATTCTTTCCCCTAGCATCTGTTCAGTGTAACTGTTAAATGCAGGATATAGATGGAACTATAGCCTGAGCCAATATAGTATTTCTTATATTTTGTATTCTTTATTATTCATTTAACTCTAAACAAATTAAAATAATTAGAGTTATTAATCCATACTGCCTACATACCCTTATGGACCAGTACTTCAGATTACCCATAAGAACCGAAGCCAAAAAAAGGCATGGGGGGAGGTGTTATTTTTTATTTTACCCAAAAGCTTTCTCTTTGTAAGTTTATCCATTTCATTTCCAGTATCCTTAATGAGACGACTCAGCAAGCACGTTTGTGAGATTTGGACCTAAATATCTGTATCTGATCTTTCACCATTGCATCCTCCCAATGTTGTTTCTTTGCTATGTTACATCTAATTTAGATTGTATGCTTCTACAGATATTCTAATGTAAAATTAAAGTACTTTAATAATACAAAGCATTCAGGGTGTCACAAATGACAAGAGGTTTTATGTACCAAAATGCCTGGATACACTTGGGTCTTTACTTATTTATTTTGCTGTGTATTGGTTCAAGCCACAAATTGTTTTAAGTTCATCTTTAAAATATCCTGGGATTTTAGCTGTTCTTTCCTTCTCTTACAACGGTAGCATTATCACTACCCGAACTAGTGCCTACGGCAACACTTGGTTAAAAAGAATTCACATCACTGCTTGCCTTAAAAACATCACATAGGTATTGTTACTCAGTTCTAGAAGCTTAGTTGAAAACCTAAAGAGTCTTCAGACCATCTGGGGGTGAAAACCCTGACAAAGACATAATACCCCAGAAACACCTGTATTACAAAATAAGCAATTCAAATATATTTGAAAAATATTTATGCCCTTTATGACAAGACTTCTTATTTGGTGCTGTATCTTAATCCATCTGAACCATAGTTTTACATGCAACTCAATTTTCTCAATCTAGAGATGTGGTAGTAATTGCTTACCTGACTCACAGGCAAATGTCTTTGACGTCTCATCATGAAAGATAATTGCCACTGCGTGTTTTTTTGTCTCTCGAGGCAGTCTGGTTATGTTTTTTATATTGTGCAGCTCAGTTACCTTGAAATGAAGAGAGACATATCTTAGACCAGTATAAAAATAGTAAAAATAAAACAGGAACCCCCAGGTATTCAGTTTTCATTGCAATCACTACATTTTCTGATGGCCATCTGACTTCACTTGTTCACAGTTGACAAATAATGTATAAAAGGAAACAGTTTTCAGCTGCAGAACTGTTTGCAGAATTTATTTTCTGACAAAAACATAGTCTTATTTTTTTCTCTTGTTGTATAAGAATTGTTGTAGAAGACTAGATAAATCTTTCCTCTATTCCACATTGACTGGCCCAGTATTTTTCCCCAAAGTAGAATGAATATGTTTGAATATATAAACTGGTAAATATGTTGCAGAATCCATAGCAAATATGTTGCTGTAGCAGAAATAGCAGCATCATATTAGTCAGAAGAAATAACTCATTCATCATGCTAATTAACATCATGGACCTTTGCATTGATTCAGGCTTATTTGTCTTTAAAGATGAAGTCCTGGAAGCTTTGGTGCTGTCCTTTTCAGAACTATAAATTCAAAATTCAATTTTGAACTGTCTTGTTTCAAAAACTGAGAAAGACCAAGGATGATTTAATAGGATGGAATTAGGCAAATTAATAACATATATAGTTTGGTCTATTTCCTGCTTCCTTTGATGCAAGTGCATCACTTTATTTAACTAGCACTAATGGAAAGAGCTGGTAACACCACATATTATGAATATTATACAGCACTTTCCATTATAAATATCTTTTCTCAATTCCTTAGTTTCAGCGAAAAGTAGGGCTGGAAGGGACCTTATAATGTCATGTGGTTCAGCCCCATGCTCAAGGCAGGCTCATCCCTGATTATACAATCCCAGTCAACTGTTTATCTAACCTGCTCTTGAAAATTTCCAAGGGTGGAGATCCCATGACTTCTCTGGGTAGTCAGTTCCAATGTTCAACTGATCTCCTAGTGAGAAAGTTCTTCCTAGTCTCCAACCTAAATTTCCCCTGATGCAGGTTGAATCCATTGTTCCTAGTGCTGTCTCCTACAGCCACACAGAAAATGTTAGATCCATCCTCTTCATAATAGCCTTTCAAGTATTCAAAAACTAATATTTTTTATTGCTTTCTGTGATAGACTTCTTCCAAACTGAACACATCCTTCTTGAAGGGCGGGGCCCAAAACCAGATGCCATGCTCCAGGTGAGGCCTCACCAGTGTTGAATTAAATAGAGTGGAACTATCACTTCCTTTGATTTGCAAGTGACACTCCTATTATTACAACCAAGGATGCTATTGGCTTCTTTTTTTCAAAAAGAGCACATTGTTGGCTCATATTCCACTTATTGTCCACTGTGACCCCCAGATTCTTCTCTGCAATACCACAACCTAGCCAATCATTCCCTAGTTTCTGAGCTGAGGGTCTAGGAGCCCATGAGGGGTGAGGCTGGAGCTGGGACTCAGGAGCCCAGGATTCTGGGACAGTGGAACTTGGGCAGAGCGGTCAGCCAGAGTAAAGTGGGCCCAGGCCAGACAGCCTGAAGTTGAACCACCCCTCAACCTCTAGTGGTAGCCTTCCAGTTCAATGCTAACATCAAAGCATGACAGGTAAGACAACAGGGTGGGACCCTGAAAGTCCAATCATAAGGTGGGATCCAGAGGACTGCCATGGAGTGACTTGGCCACCCCAAGGCCTGACCTGCTACAGTCTGTTATAACTTCGACAAAAAGAATATGTTGTCAAATAATGTAGATCCCAAACAATAAAACACTCAAGTTTAAACAGTTGAGAATATACCAAAGAAGTTTATATATAGATATGGTGGACTAAAGCAAAAACCAATGAAAAAGATTGGATTTTGCCAGGGAGTGAGAAGAATTAGACACTGAAGCTCAGGTTAATGCTTTATGAGAACATGAATATAAAAAATTAAAATTTAAATAAAAATGAATTGAATAAATACCAAAACCAACTGGCCATTCAGGAACAATACACCAGTTAAAAGGACATGCATTCCTAGCATCCAACATAAAAGCATAGCATATAAACTCTAATTCATTGTGGTATCCAAGATAGGTGACAACAAATCTGGCAGCTTGTGAAAAATTTGATCTAAAGGAGTGTGTTCTTGCACTACCAGAAGACACAGGTCTGGAATATGAGACACTCATGTTAAAGTACAAAGATTTATTTTAAGGGCTAGATTGCCTGCCATGTGAACATGTACTTCAGATAAATAAGCAAGTGCTTCCCACTATTCATCTATGCAGAAATGTGCCTTTTGCTCTCCATGATAGATTTAAGGTAGAGTTAGAAAAAAATTGAAAAAAATGTCAAGAGATATAGAAAATCTAGGAACCTACAAAATGGGTAAGAGCTGTAGTTATTATGGAGCAACATAGTGACCATTTTTATATATGCTTGGATCCGAGGTACTTCAACAAAGCTATCAAATGGAAACATTTAAAATTGCCAACTAGAGAAGAGATTATGGCCAATTCACAAATGCATGATTTTTCAGTAAAATGGACGTCTCCTCAGGATTTTGGCAGCTGAAGATCTAAATTATATGCATTTAATACTCCATTTGGAAGGTACAGGTTTCTGTGTCTACTCTTTGGTATTGTGTCCTCTCCTGAAGTGTATCATAAAATCATATGCATGATTTATGAGCATATTCTTGATGTGGACACCTCTATAGATGGCATTATCATCTGGAGCCCTACCAAAGAAGAACATGATCACAGACTTCAGGAAGTGCTGAAATCTGAAACTGAATAGTGAAGGCCATGCTGGGCATCATTGAACTGATTTTTATAGGAAATATCATCGCCACTGAAAGGATGAAATCTGATGCAACAAACGTTCAAACTAATGAAATGATACCAAGTCCCCAGTTAAAGAAAGAAGTGCAAAGTTTTCTGGAAAAGGTAAATATCTGGGCAAATTTATACCTAATTTATCAGCAAAAAACAACACCACTGAGGACACTCCCTGAGAATAAATATGAATGGTACTGGAATGCAGAACAGAAAGAATCATGGGTTGCCTTGAAAGAGGAGCTGATACAAGGGACCATGTTAAAATTCTATACTCCTGAAAAACCTATAAAAATTTCAGGATATGAATCATAGGTTGGAGGTAGTACAATTTTTTATTAAAAAAACTTTTTGGAAGATTATGCAGACTAGTGGTCCACAGATCCAAATAAATGCACAGGCAGAAATCAGCTATGCATAGACTGAATGGGAGTTACTACGAATATTATTTGCCTGTGAGAAATGTCACCAATATGTCCGTGGCCACACTGTGTGTGTGAAAAGAAAGCACAACCCCATGAAAGCATTGTTTAACAAGCCATTAAATGATTGTACTTTGAGGATTCAAAGACTGATCCTGAAGCTGCAAAAGTATACTTCTGTTGTCACCTACACACCAGGTAAATTTATGTTTACTGCATAAATGTGTTTACTGTATGCCCTCTCTAAAGCCATGCATGTACCCTGCTATGAAACCAGAAAATATATTTGAGACAGAGGTGCAAGCCTATGTAGACTTAATTGTCATGTCATTCCCTAGAAAAGATAAGAAACTGCATAAAATAAAGCAGAAACAGAAAAAGACAATTCATTGGAACTCTTGAAAGAAATCAGAAGAGCTGGTGCTAAGGACAATGACTAGTGGACAATGCTAGCGACCAGTACTTAGTGTGCAGGGCAGACTATAAGCCAGGAATGGAAATTAGGAAGGGAGAAATGAGCAGCATGTGAGCAGTTGTAGAAGGACCTAGGCAGGCTAGCAAGTTGGGCGGATTGAAATCTGATGAAGTTCAGCGTTGAGAAATGTAAAGTGCTCCACCTTGGGACGAGCAACTCCCAACACACCTACAGGCTTGGCGGCACCAAACTGACTGGCACCATGAATGAAAGGGACCTAGGGGTAATAATAGACCATAGTATGAATATGAGCTGGCAGTGCGATGCTGTTGCCAAGTAGGGCAAATAATACTCTGGCATGCATCAATCAATGCATCTTCAGCAAAACCAAGGACATGATTCTTCTGCTCTACTCAGCACTGGTGAGACCACAGCTGGAGTACTGCATCCAGTTCTGTGCACCACACTTTAACAAGGACTTGGACAAGCTGGAAAGAGTCCAAAGAAGAGCCACCCATATGATCAGTCTTACACGGCAAGCCATGTGAGGAAAGGCTGAGGGATCTGGGACCCTTCAGCCTGAGGAAAAGAAGGCTGAGAGGGGACCTGGTTGCAGCTAGGGGGAGTACTAGGGGAGTACATCAAGGGCTCAGTGAGCAACTGTTCACCAGGGCACCTGAGGGGAAAACCAGGAGTAATGGCCACAACCCCCTGGAAGATTGATTCAGGCTCAACATTAGGAAAAAACTTCCTTTACAATTAGGGTGTCCAGACTGTGGAATAAGCTCCCTCCAGAGGTGGTGCAATCACCTACCCTGGAAATCTTCAAGAGGAGACTATAGTCACCTTGCTGTGGTCACCCGACCCCCAGTTATCTTTCCTGCTTGGCACAGGAGGCTGAATCCAATGATCTTCTGAGGTCCCTTCCAGCCTTGCAATCTATAAATCTATGACTTCAACTACCTGAAGTGGGGGTTGAAAGAAAATGGAGCTGGACTGTTTTCAGTGGTGATGGAGGAATGGTCTCAAGTTGCAGCAAGGAAAGTTTAGTTTAGATATTAGGAAGAATTTTCTCGCTAGAACAGGCTCCCCAGAAAGGCGGTGGAAGCTCCATCCTGGAGGTTTTCAAAATCTGGCTAACACAAAGCTTTGGCTGGGATGATCTAGTTGGGGAAGATCCTACTTTGAGCAGGGGGTTAGACTAGATGCGACTTCCTGAGGTCCCTTCCAACCATAATTGTCTATGATACTATGACTCTGCGATCTGGCTCCACTCCATCATCTGACCCCAGTGCTCCTGGGCAACGTGTCGGATTCAATGATCTACTGAGGTCCCTTCCAACCCTAAAAATCTATGAAATCTATGAAAATCTAGTACCGAGTGCCTTATAAGGCACTGGGAAAAGTGAGTGCTGTGATTGATATGGTGGGCAAACCCAGTACAGCAGTTTCCCTAAAAGGAAAGAAAACCAAAAATGGAATAGGATTGGAATACCTTATTTAAAAAGATGAGGTAAGAAACTTGAGGATTGGACAATTTGGGGTGAGAAAGTTATAGAAGTAGTGGACAAATAAAGGAACATTGTGTTTGCATTGTCACCCTTGGGGGCAGGGCCAACCATGGAATTCTTGTTTGAACAGGAAATCTAAAAACAGACATCTCAAACACCCAGCAGGGGATATGAGGCCACTATCACCAAAAGCCGCTGCTGTAATGTCTGACGGAACCACGTGTCAGGTTATATTACAGGGAGGAAACTTGTAATAAAGATAAGGGGTTACTATTAAAGTTCACTTGATACCAAATTGGATGAGGGGCTTTGCCAATCCTTGGGGGTCTCTGGGAAAAGGAATCCTAGTGGCAACAGGCACTAGAACCAGTATTTTCAAGAGGTAGTCAACAAGCTGAATGTAAACTGAATGTAATTCTGTGATTAAGCACAATTGGGGGACTACTACAACTGGGATATCATAAGCAGAGTCTGCTGCTGCAGTGATGTAATTAGTGTTGTAGGACTATTCACATACAGTTAAGCATATACTTAAGTGCCTTGTTGGATCGCAGCCAGAGTACAGTACACCTTGTAGGACCAAGTCATTATTAAGAGTATTGAGTGCCAAACCATTGTTTATTTAAAGAAGAAGAATATTGACTTATTAAACAATTATTAGCAGAATAGCGATGTCTTTCCCATCAAGATGACTGTAGTTTTAAATTTGTTTAAAGAGACAAAAATACTGTAATGATTTACTTTGACATTTATGTGTTCAACACTAACTAACTCTCTGCAGCGGAAGAGCTGACTCATGGCTGCCAGCCTCACATGCCAAAGCTCGCTCCATTTCAGTCGAAAATAATTGAAGAAATCCTTGCTTCTGCAACACAACCAGTGTAGCCAAAGGAAATTCCATCTACATAGAGACTGCAAAACAAAGCTTGTTGTTCATGATGCATTTAAAGTCTTTTGGAATGAAAAATATTAAGTAAAGGAACATATTCAATAACATGAAACATAACACCAGACCTGAAATTTTATAGGACTGTTTAGGACTTAAGTTATGTTGATATAGTTTCAAGGTTTGAAAATCCCCGTTATCAGTCTCTCCTCACCCATGGCAAGTATACATTTTTCCAGGCTAAAATGTGCTAAGTGAGATTGCAAACCACTGCTTTCTTTTTTAGTATGTATACAGAAGAGAAATACAGAGCAGGCCAAGCGTGGTTGCACTTTTGCAGAAGTGGAGAAATGGGGTAGTGAACAGTACAGATAATCCTGCCCCAGTGAAGGGAAACGCAGAGGAAATCAGCAACTGGAATTGCCAAAGCTTTTCCAGGAGACAAGAGTGGGGGGATGGGGGGAGGGGAGGACCTGGGAGAAAGTCAGAAGGGGTGAAGAAGAGTTGGGATGTTAAGGGGCTCTTATACCCTGCAAGAGCTTGGGAGTAGAGCTAGAATCAGTATAATTTATTAATAGTGTGTGGAAGAACTGCTCAGACTTAAATAACTGTGGGGTAGGACAATCCCAGAACTCATTAAGTGTAGAAAAACCCAGAAGTGAAAGAATCTTTCTTTCCAAAGTTCATTAATTAGGAAGAGGGTTAGAGCCAAAAAATTCATTTTTGAGGTGAAGAGTGCCCAAGCTCATGTTAAGAGTCCAAAGACAAAGTGGCATGCACTGGGATTTTCAGAAACCTGATGGCAACTAACTCACATTAAGATTAAATGCTTAGATTCCAAATAAATAAATGATAATACAACAGAAGGTAAAGAAACCACTCTAAGTAGGGGCGAGGAAGGTTTTTTTAAGCACATATACTGGTTTATGTGCCACCTCTGTCCCTAGCCTAAGTGACCAGAAACTGGTTTAAATCTGTAACAGAACAGAAGCTCAGTGCACATAAACCAGTTTCAAAATAGCTGAAACTGGTTTAAGATAAACCTGGTTGAAAGCAGCATCAGACTTAACTGATTTGATTAATATACTTTAATAATACAAAGCATTAAGGGTTTCACAAATGACAAGTAGTTTTATGTACCAGAATGCCTGGATACATTTGGGTCTTTACTTATTTATTTTGCTGTGTATTTGTTCGAGCCACAAATTGTTTTAAATTTATCTTTCTGGGATTTTAGCTGTTCTTTGCTTCTCTTACAACGGTAGCATTATCACTACCCTAACTAGTACCTATGACAGCACTTGGTTAAAAAGAATTCAAACTGGTTTATGAAACTTGTCTCAGACCCCTTCCTGGTTCAAGTTAAATCACAGTCCCCCAGCATGCTTTCCAGCCCTGGGCTGGGCTGTGCTGTCTGCTCCAGTGAACTGGGCTGGTCCCGCCCCTCTGCTCCATAGCTGGAGTAGTGAGGGCTGGCTGACAAGGAGTTGGGGGGGGGAAGGCAAGCCTGGCTGCAGATGCAGCCCAGTCTACCTGGAAGGGGGGTGAAGGGGAGGAGGAGTGCTCCCTCCACCCCAGCAAACCCCGACTGGGGTCTGGGGCCAGGGAGAGAGGTTAAACACCCCATTCCCCTGCTCAAACTTACTGCTGACTGCAACTGAACTACAAATGCCAGAGGCACCTGGAAGCAGAAAGACGAAGGGATGAGCAACCCTGCAGAGTCCTGCTGTTGTAAATCCTGGAGACCTCAGGGGCAGCAGGAAGCGGAAATAAACCCGCAGCCAGAGAGTCATGCTCCAGAGCCCCCCAGCATTTGGCCTGAGCTACTGCAGGCATGTGGCTGCATTTCCTGAATCAAAGGTAAATGTCTGGTTGAATGTAGTATCAGACTTAACTGATATGGGTTAAACCAGTTTATAAAACTTCTGTACCAGACCCCTTCCTGGTTCAAGTTAATCACAGGCCCTCAGCATCCCAGCATGCTTTGCAGCTCTGTGCTGTGCGATGCTGTCTGCTCCAGAGAGCAGGGCTGGCCCCATCCCTCTTCTCCCTAGCTGGAGCAGTGAGGGTTGACTGACAAGGGGCTGATGTGGGGGGGAAGCCCAGCTGGAGATGAAGCCCAGTCTGTGTGGGGGGGACTGCTCCTCCCAGTCAAACCCCAGCTGGAGCCTGGGGCCAGGGAGGGGGGTTAAACACCCCTTCCCAGCTCAAACTTACTACTGACTACAACAGTGGACTACAAATCCCAGAGACCTTGGGGGTACCAGGAAGAGGAAGTGAACACATAGCTACAGAGCCGTACTCTAGCACCTCCAGACCTGAGCCACTGTAGGCATATAGCTTCATTTCCTGAATCAAAGGTAAACGTCTGTTCACTTCTGTTTCAGTTTAATCTGTGCAGTTTAGACTAACCTGCAAAGACTGAATAGATTCAGCCTCAGGCTTTTTGACTGCCTGTACCTAGGCATAAAGCACTGAGAATGCCACGCATATCTGAATATGTGGCTGTGTAAATAACATCCAAAAAACCCCTATTATAATACCCTTGACATTTTTAGAATATGTCTGTTAATTCCTATACACCTCCTCTTTAATTTATTAATAATGTTGATTTTTTTCACTGAACAGGTAGAAATCAGATCCATTATTAACATCAATTTAATGTTACTTTCTATATAAATGAGCCTATATCCAAGGTTGGGTCCCCACACATTTTTTGCAAGATTCTCAGTTTTTTTCTTGCCAAGTAAAAACAAATTAAGGAAAAGGGGGGGGAGGGGAGCATACCGCTGCTACTGCTCTCACTCCTAAAGAAATATTGACTATCTAATTATTACCCTTCATCCCCAATTAGTTATAAATACTCTCAGGTATATTACTTTCTCCTATATAGTGGCTTACCTGCTTCGCAACATTTCAGATTTTCAGATTTGAAAATGTATGCTTCCTTGTATTTAGAAAAGCATTTTATCTGTTGCTGTGTGATACAGCCACACAAATACTGTGAGAAGCTCACTGAATGATTGTTCAATGGAAATAATGAAAGGGACTGTAGTGAAGCAGTGAGACTAAACACAAAGCAGTGGAAAATGCACAACATGAACAGAACTGAGAGAGAAAAAGGAAAACATATATTTTCTTCAGATTTTCATTTAAAGAAATCCCAGATTATATCTGTAACAGTATACATTTTCATCCTAAATGAGTTCTTCTTGTTTTGACATCACCCTTTAAAGCAGCTTCCCAGGTCATTCATTCAAAGTACAATAAAACAAAACAGTCAAATAAAGGTTTGGCTATGGATAGGTGTTCATTTCTAGTGCTGCAAATTTCTAGGCTGCAAATTTCTAGGAAGTTTCCAGTGCTGGAAACTGTGGCAAGAGTCGAAGCATGCAGATGTTCTAGCCTGCAGCCACCCCTCTCCCCACAGGCAAAACAGAGTTGAGCACTGACCTTGGGGAAATGTCCCCATGCCTTCCCCAGACCAGGGTCAGTAGCAACTGAACTCTCCCTGGGATCAGGGGTTGAGCAATGGCGGAATGCTCCCCACACCTTCTACAGACTGTGCTGATGAGTCTCCAGGATGAGCTGAGTAGCAGAGATATGTCCCTGAAGTAGACAGGCATTCGTTCTGGTGTGAGAGATTCTTGTACAGGCTAGATCTTCCTGGTCAAAAAAGGAAGATCTTTGTCATGGATCTGCCAGGTGTCTTCTTCCAGAAACTACACAAGTGCCTGTATGCTTGCAGTGTCTAGCCAGAGAGCAGCATTTTTTCCCTTTAGATATACAACACCTGTTCACACCTTTTGACACCATCTCTTCCTAAATGGTTGTGAAAAGTTGTAACTCCTCCTATTCATAGATTGCTAGGTCCATGACAACATTGCAACAATGCAAGAAAGGCGTGACATCTAAAAAAATCCAACTACAGGTTGTCCTTTCCTGCGGGGGGGAGGATGAAGGTAGGGGAGGCTGTGTGGCAGGAAGTTTGGCTCTTTATAAGCAGCTCCATCTTGCCGGAAAGACCACATTGAAAAGGAAGCCAAAATGAGTCAGCAGTGGGGGGAAAGTACTGAAAGCTTGCCGGGAGCTCCTAACAGGAGTATTGTGTTTAAGTTATAGGAAATAACTTAATAACCTCCTCTGAAACTATGAAATGACCCTTCCACTATATTCTGCAATGGTGAGGCTTTACCTGGAATACTGGGTCCAGTTTTGGGCATCACACTTCAAGACAGACTTGGACAAATTAGGAAAAGTCTCTGGAGCACAACAAAAAATATGAGAGGTCTAGAAAATATGATCTATAAGGAAAGGGTGGAAGAACGGGGACTATTTAGTCTATAGAAGAGAAGACTAAGATAACAGTCAGATATAAAAAGGGTTACTCTAAAAATTAGTACAATCAATTTTTCTCTATTTTGACAAAGGACAGGACAAAAAGTACCCTTAAACTACTAAGGAAGCTTTACATTAGATTTTAAAACTTTCTAACTATGAGAGTTGTTAAGCACTAAAACAGATCATTTAGAAATGTTGTAGATTCAACCGTTTTTTTCAGTTGCAGGTTAGACAAACATTTGCCTAAGGTGATTTAGATAGGAATGATTCTGGCTTAAACAACAATGGCAGTATCACTTGTCCTTTAGTCAGACTTCTGCATGCAAAAATTTCCATGCCTTCTTATTTGAACAACTGCAATATTTTACCAACATGATTTCAACCTGGTAACATTTTCAAAAGTGACCCATCAAAACTACAAACAGTTTCTTTAGGTAAATTAGCACTTTTCAGCAGAAATATTGTTAAAAAACCCTGACCAGCTCTGTCTCTAACAGACATACTAGCAGAATATAAGCTTATTCATTGGAAATGATGATGATATATACAGCCAAAGATCCTATTGCAGAAATATCTGGCCCATAGGCTACACTGTATAAGTAAAAGCAAGCAAAAAATCAATTTAAAGTGCTGTTACATGTGTGCGAGTCTCTTAGATCTTCAACAAAATAGATGGAATTAATCTGACAGTAGAATTAAACTTCACCCAGGCTGATAGTAACATTATCATTTAAAATAAAAAAAATAAAAAAAAACCTTAGGAAATCACTTTCCTAATTTTCCATTATAGTCAATATAGAACAAAACAAAATTGAACTATACAGAGGGCAAAAAAAATCAAACCAATATTACCTTTCCTGGTGTGAAAGCGTGCACTTGGATTTATTGCCTATTTTTCTCCTTTGTGATTCCTACCAGTAGGTCAACATAATCTTTTCATATTAAGCTGACTACATACTTTAGAGTGGGGTTATTATTATGTAAAATATTTTAACTGAGTGTTTCATTTTTTCCTTTTACCTGTAATTCACATCTTAGAATTCAGTATAGGACTCCATGTAATGTTTTACCTGGTATATGTGTTATAGACTGTTAGCAAATCTCCCTTTCCCAAGCACATCCTACTCCTTACCAGCAATGGCAGTCTCATTTGTCCTTCAGTGAGACTTCCACATGCAAATATTTCCATGCCTTCTTGTATACTATCTCGTATGCCCTCCCTTTACTAATCTAGAAAGTCATACAACTCATCATTGCTCTGGTACATAATATATTAGCACATAAGCAATAACTATGTTGCAAACATATAGAGGATATTTGTTTTGTAGAAACCAATTAAAAATATCAAAAATAAAAGTACATATAAATGTGCCAATCATTCTTAATATTTTTTTAGATGGCAATATGTTGATTCCCTAGTGTACCTGGCCCAGCACCATCTACATTCTGAAGGCAGGGCCAAACCACCACAAAACCTAGGGCTCCTGCATTCAAGTGCGACAGAACAGACATGAATCTGCTTTAAGGTACATCAGAGATTGAAGCAACACTTTGTTGGTGCATCCACACACGCAGGCACATGAGCTCCCAGCAGCTCAAATAGAAGTGGCACAAATTTGTGCTGGAGATTTTTACCTCAGTGCACGTGCCCAGACATGCACTTTGGTGTGGGGCAAGTTGTGCCACTTGGGGCAAAATGACCCTCCCCAGCTCCTCCCAAGTCTGCAGCTAGGGGGAGCTAGAGCCTGGGGCCAGCGCTGGTGCTGGCCCCAGCAGTATAAAAAGCTGCCCTGTGCTGGCCCCAGCATTATAAAAAGCTACCCTGGCAAGCAGATCAGTGCTAATTGCTCTCCAGAGCTTCTGGGGCCTAGCCAATTGGTATATGGGGACACTACCCCCGTGTGCCAGCTGGACGGCTGAAACAGCCCGAACATAGAGACGCCTGCACCCTCTACCGACTGCAGCAGCTTGGCAGTGGGGGTTGCTGCCTGGCTATGACCTGCTGCCACCTGCAACAGCATGTGGTCCCAAGGCTGCATGCCTGCCAGACCCAGATGGGAACTGCGTGGCTGCAGTAGAGGCATCTGCATCTCTGGGCCAGCTGCCAGCAGGCTGTGGCTGCACAGTTGGCCTTTGTGCAGCATTACTGCCATGTGTGCCACTGCCCTGCCATCTAGGCAGTTATCACCTGGAAGAGGTTGTGGCCAGGAGGTTAGCCACTTCCAGCTGGGTCCTGGGTGCCAGCCCTGAGCAGGCTTCTCTGCCTGGGTCCTGCCACTTGCCTCATTAGCAGGAATTCTGGAATTCCCTATTTAAAAACTGCAAATTCTCTGATAGAAAAATCCCAAATTCACTCTTTAAAATACCCCCAAATCCATGTTCTTCTATAATTAAAACAAAAGACTATATACACACACACACACACACACACACACACACAGAGATAGATTGACTGGTTGGACAATGTTTTATTGATATATTTACAATTTTAAAGCACATGGAAAGCCCACCAGTGTCTCTATCATCATAATAAAATAAATTCTAAATATCTATATGTTTTGCTGTTTGCTTTTGGTTTTCTTATTATAGAACAATTAGAGCTATCCCTGATCCCTTCACTAACCAGGATGTGGGAACAGCCACTCCTGCAGCCACAGCTCCTGCCAGCAGGCCTCTTCCTGTCTGGCAGCTGGGCACGATGGGTGTGTGATGGGGGGGATGTGGAGTTTGCAGGAGAGGGGTGAGAAGGGGTGTGGGGAGATGTGGGTCTGTGTCTGGGTGGGTGTGGAGGGATGTGGGGGGATATGGAGACTGCTCAGGAGGCGTGGGTCCCCTGCTTCCCCATGCAGATCCACAGGCCCCACCACAACTCACCCCCACAGCAGCACCGGCCATCAGGTGCTCAGGGCCCACTACTGTCAGAGCACCCCCCCATGGCATGGTGCGGCCTCAGCAGCCTCAGAGCCGGTGCTGCCTATGCAGCTTGTTGCAGGTGTGGCTCTGCGCAGCACAGTGCAGGGCCATGTGCCTTTCTGCAGCTCTGGGCCACTAGGGCTGTCACCTGGGAGCTGGTGCTGCTCGCAGGGACTACGTGTCATGCTGGGCCAGGTCCTGCCTCCACGGAACTGGCCCGGCCTAACAGCATGCATGGTCCCTGTGAGTGGCGCCAGTCCCCAGGTGACAACCCAAGTGGCCTGGACCTGCAGAAATGAATGTGCATGGCCCCACACTGAGCCATGCCAGGCCACACCCATGACAAGCGGCACAGGCATCACCAACTCTGAGGTGGCTGGGCCCGCACCGCACCATGCCGCAGGGGGGCTCCGAGTGCTTGATGGCTGCTACTGCTGTGGGGGCAGGGGTGGGGGGAGAAGAGGCTGTGAACCCTGCTGGAGACCCACATCCCCTGACAATCCCCCCCCCCCCCTTCCCCTTCCCCCCCCAATATCCCCCCTGACAATCCCCCCCCCCCCTCTTCCACTGTCCTCCTACATATGCACAGCCCTCTCTTCCCCCAGTTCCTACTTACTCACGACAGTGCCCAGGTCCTGATCATGTCAGATCCTTGCCCCACTTCTGCTTACCCCATTGTGCTAAGGGTGTGTGCTCTGCATACTGGGGCAGCAGAAGCACATAGAGATGCTTTGGCCAGAAACCAGAGTGTCTCTCTGGAGGACTGGCTTCCGGGTTAACTCAAGGCATGGTCTGGGACCGTGCCCTGCCCCACTTTTGTCCCCTATGCTTTTTTTTGATACCTGAATTTCTAAGTATCAAATTTTGAGCTCACACTACAAATATGCAGCGCAGGAAACATTTTTTCATTTATAGCTTGCCTCTTGCAGTGTCTCAAACTAGTTTGAAATGCTACAAGAGGCACGTGCAAGCTCATCTGGATACACCCTGAGAGTGCAAAGATGGTATATATTTCACCTTCTTTATCCTAGTCCCTAGCTGCACTAAGTGAAGCTTTGGTGTGTCATAACCCAATGATTTTTAGTGCCTCGGCACACTGAAATTTTCCCGCCACATGGAGCTTCCTTTGCATGGTGCAATTCTCAGCTGCAGAGAGAAAACCCCGGTGCAAAGGAGTTCCCGCCACCCGTATGTAAATTTGTTTCCCACTATTGGCTGTTTCTAAATTATTCCCACGTGGCGGCTAGCGATTGGCTTGCTAGTCGTATAAGAGGTTTGAGCAGTTTCCGCCCAAGTTGTAGAGGACTCCACAACCATCTCGTGGGGACTCTGAGCACGCGGCAGAGTAATAGAAACTTTGTGTGCATCTCAGAGGAGTTTGGTGGCCTGATCAACCACCAACCTCTTCCCGTCCCGTTCGTTAAATTCTTAAGACGTATCTACGGTTTTGCGCGCTCATCAAGGGTATCCAGAGCTCTGTCGTGTTTGTTTTGCGGAGCCTAGCAAACTCCGTGCGTGTGTCTTCAGTGGAGCCTAGCAAACTCCACTTGTGTTTGTCTGTAACTGCAACTCAAGCAAGTTTCCTCCCTGCACTGTGACCATCAGCAGTGTAAGTAAAGCTTTCTTTATAAAACCAATACGCTGTCTCGCCTCTCCATCCACCAGCCCGCCTGACATTCGCTTAATTAACCAGTGTTTCCCTCGGTCGGCTCCACCTGGCCGAGACATGGTGTGCCTGAGAACCTGGTCCAAAATATAGAGTAAAAATATAACCATTTCATCTTACTGCCCCCCTGCATATTCTGTAGGTCATTTCTCTGAGAGAGTAAGTGGAGCAAGAGCTTAGTGTTTTTATAACACCTATTACCAAGAGACACAAATTCTAACTGGGGATTCTTGAAGCTCTCATAGGGAAAACCTTAAATAAGAATATTAAAACCAATACATATGGTTGCTGGGTAAGTGCCATTTAGCCCCCACCTAATGGTATAATAATTGAAAGGGATGCTATGTGCTATGGCTGTTGCTAGAAAAGATGGAGCTGCTTTCAGTAACATTTACAATGAAAATTTAGAGAAATACAGGACACATAGCAAGATGATACTAGGAACTGGAGCAGGAGAAGAGATGGAGATTATTGGGCAATACAGTTATGACTATGCATCAGTAATGTTGCTGATTTTACTTGTGCTGTTTTTATATTTCTCTGAAAGCATTCCATGTGGTTTTGGACTATCTTCCCCTACCTGTCTTGAGGTATAATTTCAGGTTACCTATTCTTAAAGGAAGCTGGGTACAAAACCCATCTAGGCGAACGGCTTATTATAATACAGGATCAAATGAAAACCCTGCCCTTTCTCCTTTCGGGGGGCTTGTGATTTGCATATAATAAGAAACAGCCTTAAAACAAGTACATTTATCAGCAAAGAAAACAAAGCATTACAGAAAACTATTTCCAAAGGCATATCTACATACTCATTAAGTCTTATCTAATCATATGCTCCACTATAAGTTAGGTTAAATTGGGTTCTGTCTTGATTTACAAGAAAAGACAGCACCAGTTTATGCTTATTTAGGAAGCCAAGGTCCTTTTGGGATACAGCCAGGTTTCACTATTTGTCTCTTAAAATGTTCTGCCCTGTGCAATGTAAATTAGTATATGCTAAACAATGCTTTTGTAGACAAAATATGTAAGTACTTATAGTTATTTTAAAACAGTAGTTATACAAAGCTACAGAATGACCATAATGCTTAGATGTTTCTGGCAAGAAAAATAGGTAACTTTCTCCTCTTCTTCAGCAATTCCTTGCAATTGAAAATGGTTGTCTTCCATGATTGTCTTATTTGTGAGTCCAAAGATGGCTGATGAGGCCTATCTAGGATCAACAGACTCTACTACAGCTCAGACGTGTGTTTCTATGTCAGGTGGGTGGTGCTAGATTCTTGATTTTGTTTGCGACACTGTTTTTGCAACTCCCATTTTTCCATCTCTTGTTATTGTAGTGAGGTTTCATATATTCATAGATGTTTGGGTCAGAAGGGACCTTAACAATTGGAGTTCGACCCCCTGCTCTGGGCAGGAAAAAGTACTGGAGTCAGATGACCCCAGCCAGTTGCATATCTAGCCTTCTCTTAAAGACCCCCAAGGGAGGGGAGAATACCACCTCCCTTTTAAGCCCATTCCAGATTCTAGCAACCCTTACCTTAAAGAAGTTCTTCCTGATGTCTAACCTGAATCTGCTCTATTTGAAAGTACTGAGATCCCTGCAGCAGACTCTCTTTCTCCATTTGGGGCAGTTCTGGGCAATTGTCTCCCATGAATTGACACTGAAGTTGCATTTTTTTAAGCTGGCCTTGAGGAGGTCCCTGAAGCACTTTCTCTGCCCTCCTCTTGAGCATATGCCTTGGCTGAGTTGGGAGAATAAAACTTGCTTTGGGAACCTGCAGTCAGACATCTAGATGGCATGGCCAGCCCAATGAAGTTGATGGTGGATGATCATTGCCTTGTTACCTGTGGTGCTGGCTTGCAGGAGAGCAGAAAATGTTGGTGTGTCTGTCTTCCCAGTAGAATCAGAGGATCTTCTTTAGGCAGCATTGATGGTACTTCTCTAACAACTTTAGATGTCTCCTGTATATTGTCCATGTCTCAGCTCCATACAAGCAACATGGGGATCACGACTGCTTGATAAACCATGAGTTTGGTTTCAAAATGGCAGGGGGAGAGAAGTTACTTTTTCTTTGTTTTTTTGTTTTCCTTTTTGTGAGACTCCCTGAAGCAGAGCAGATGTTTTGCAAAACTAAGACAAGCAGGAAAATGTTGTACAAATGGAGAGTTTCTGAGATAAAGAGTAGTCAAGAAACTGTTTAAGTAGAAAACAGTAGTCAGGAAATGATTGGATACTTTATAAAACACAAGGATCCAGATTGGTTGAAAAGGAAACTCTATTAAAGATATAATGTATATCATAGAATCGCGGAAAATTAGGGTTGGAATGGACCTCAGGAGGTCATCTAATCCAACACCCTGCTCAAAGCAGGACCATCCCCAACTAGATCATCCCAGCCAAGGCTTTGTCTAGTTGGGTCTTAAAAACGTCTAAGGGTAGAGATTTCACAACATCTCTAGGTAACCTGTTCCAGTGCTTTACTACCCTCCTAGTGAAAAAGTTTTTTCTAATATCTAACCTAAACATCCTTTGCTGCAACTTGAGGCCACTGCTCTTCTTCTGTCATCTGACACCACTGAGAACAGTTTAGCTACATCCTCTTTTGAACCCCGCTTCAGGTAGTTGAAGGCTGCTATTAAATCCCCTCTCGATCTTCTCTTCTTTAGACTAAATAAGACCAGTTCCCTCAGTCTTTCCTCCTAAGTCATGTCCCTCATAGGTCATATCTAGCTGGACTCTCTCCAATTTGTCTACATCCTTTCTGTAGTGGGGGGGCCCAAAACTGGACACACTACCCCAGATGTGGCCTCACCAGTGCTGAATAGAGGGGAATAATCACTTCCTTTGATCTGCTGGCAACACTCCTACCAATGCAGCCCAGTATGCAATTATCCTTCTTGGCAACAATATATTATAAAGGCTACAGAGAAATAAGGGCAATAATCTTTGACGTTCTAAGAACACACACCATGGAACAACAGGGGGTCATGAGAGAGGGTACAGCCATGGACTTGATGATGACACAAAATGTGGGGAGAAGTAGACACGCCAGAGGGCAGGGAACAACTACAAGCAGACCTGGACAGGTTGGACATATGGGCAGAAAACAACAGAATGCAGTTCAACAAGGAGAAATGCAAAGTGCTACACCTAGGGAGGAAAAACGTCCAGCATACCTACTGCCTAGGAAATGACCTACTTGGTGGCATGGAATCAGAAAGGGATCTTGGAGTCCTAGTGGACTCCAAGATGAACAT